AAATATACCTATGGTCACAATGCCGGGTTAGGGCTTGGTGTTTGAGAGTCCAAAAAACATGGGGCATGCTTGACGGGGATGTGTGCGTTCTTTGAAAAAAATTATTTATCCTGAAGCCTCTGGAAACAAGCACTCCAACAGCTCCATATTCTTATGAACGCCCTCGTGAGCCTCTTCGTTCCATAGTGCTGTGCAGACAGCATCTGTGATGTCGTCGTCCTGCAGCGACTGGCAGGCTTTGTGAAGGGTCTTCTATAGCTCATGTACGGTTTTAGCAGCGCTATTCAGTGGATGCAGAAAGCCTATATCCCTTTATGACTAAGTAAATCTTGGAATGTTTGTGGTTTCTGGAGTTGAGTGCATTGAGCGTTTAATGTTGAACTACGGTTGTAGGACCAAGATTATGCAAGGGCTTTGGGCTTGGGGTGTACCCGTAACCCGAACAACTACATCTTCTGCATTCCTTAGTGTGGTGTCTATTGATACTGCGATTATGCCTGGTCTTAGTCTTAGTACTTGTATATAATTGACCATTATTCCGAGTTTTACTTACGAAACATCAGTGCATTTTTTTCGACTGGGCTGCGGTGCTATGCTGTAGCTGCAGGGGAGGGTCAACTGAAACCCTGATCCTTACCTTCTAGCCGCCGAACAGAACCGACGGTCCTGCTCGGTTCAGTGAAGGCTTTGGGGTACAGAATAAGACGAAAACTGATCTAGACTCTGGACTGTTAAGGGTTTAGCTTTTAGGGCGAACCTGCCAGAAGGAAATTAGACTCGCCTTCGTTCAGGGCTGAAGATCAAATCTTCGATGACAAGATTCGTGTAGCCACGTTCCTGAGTAGAACCTTCATGATAATGGTACCCTTTTCCTGTTATTTGGGTTTAAATGAGGAGATCCCCAAGAATTCAAAATGAAAAGGCAAGAGCTTACAATGTGCCGGGCTTCCGGAGGACGCGATCAGAATTGCATGGGGATGACAGGCCTGATAAAACCTTCTGGTACCTGATAAACCCTCGCACAAACCCCTGCAACACCGTTCGCGAAATCCTTCTAAAATCCCTTGTAGAATGCCCCGAACAATGCCGCGAAACCCTAAGCCCTAGAAGCCCTAAACCCCAAACCCTATATGCCCTATCGAAGACACCGGAAGAGCCTTGAAAGCCGCTCCTGTTGCGCCATTCTGAGGACCCGGTCGGTGGCTTCGAGCGTCTGGGCAACTGCCCTCTGCCAGACCTCAACAGATGGTTTAGTTTAGGGTCGAGGGTTTAGGGTTTAGGAGTTTAGGCTTTGAGGTAACCCCCAAGGCCCCAACCCGAAACATGGGTAGGTTATAGAAATATGCAAAGACTACCGCCATTCCGGATATGTCGGACCTCCTCTTTAAACCCGCCGGAGACCTCAACCCAAGAAGGCGATATGGTCCTCTCCTTTCCGCTCTGAACACTGGTTTAGGGTTTAAGGTAATGAAACCACGAAACCCAACTAAGGATGTATAGAGGGCTCAACTTTTTTGGGGCCTATAAATCCTCAGGCGCGGACATTGTAGCGCTGAAGCTCGCGGAGGAGCGTCTGCCAAACTGCATCTCCCTGCATTTGAAACAAGATTTGGGCCGTTGACGTGGCTTTGCTACACCCTAAACCCTAAGCTCCAAACTCTAAACCCCAAACCCTAAACCTCTTAAACGGTCGCAGGGCATAGGAGTTTTCATAATATGTCTAAGAGTTTGGGCTGTCGGGTTGAGGGGTCCCTTCAGGATCTGTACGGTTTTCTCTCGGGTTTTCCTATCAAAGGAGATGTTTAAGGGCTCCTGTAAGGAGTGTTATGGACTCGGTAATTTGTTATGCTAAAGTGTCGGGTCCAGAACTTGCGGGGTCGGATGTGTCTTCCAGAGTCATGAGGCTGAATGAAAACACTAGTATATCCGGAGTCCTACCAGAATCAGATAGAAGAAATTTGAAAACCAACACATCAATCAAATTCAACATCCCCAATCCTAGCAGGGCTGAATCAAAGCCTGAGACACCCCAGTTCATAGGCAAACGAAGGCCCCATAGCAGCTCGGCTTCTGTGCGCCTTTTCGCCGTCTACCGGCCACAAGTCCTTCCAGGCTGCGAAGCTCGAAAGTGACAACAGGCCCTCAAACCGCAGACTCGTCACCGGCCCTAGTATAAGCAATAACATGGCATCATATCCCTTCATCGTCACATCCACTTGCCCATATATATATATATATATATATGTGCACTCTACCCCTATGCAGAAGTATGCAGCGAAACCTATACCCTAAGCATAAGCACCCCAACGGAGCTCTTAAGGCCCTAGAGGTAACTCTAAGGCCCAAGGGTCACTCCAAATGCTCCTTTGACGGAACACATAGGAGCCTACTTGGCTCTCCGATAGCCATGAATTTCGATCTTTCATGCGGTTTAAATTGAGTACTGCCCCCCACACTGTAATAGTCTGTATTAAAGGTTTCGGGTTTGAGCTTAGGGTTTAGGGTAAGGGTCATATTAAGGCATTTAGGGGCCTGCGGATGAAATTGCAAAGAGCTCGACGACTCAACACAAAAAAGCAACCTCTGACTAATGAAATCAATGAAAGCACTTATGCATGACACTTTGTGCATAGCTTTTATTGCCGTCGATTCGGGATGCTGTCATCATTTTTGAGCATGCTTTCGGCACCTGCACGTGAACCTGCAAGTCTGATCGGAACATAGAAGGTTACTTGTAGCGGACTGGCTCGCCCCGGGATGGCGACGGTTGTGAACTGTAGGTTTGGTGGTTTGACAATGACAACGACAAGAAGCTAGAACACGTCGCGCAGGCTTGCGCCATCCACCCGGCGTTCGCATCCTTCGCGAGCCCCCGGACGTCGAAGTGCTTCAATCCGCCCCCAGGCACCGTGGCGGTGTCCATCGCTCGAGGATCTGCAAAATCGAAATCCTACATTTCTAGTTACTCTAGTTGTCAGATTTGGATTGTTCCCGATTGCAGTTTTGTGTCTGCGTGAGCGATTGAAAAGACTTGGGGCAATGGCTTTCGTGCAGCACTGCCTGTCACTACTTGCGACGGCCAAAAAACAGAATTGCAAGTATTGCAAGTACATATTTTTGTTTGATGTGGGCACTCGTATCAGTGAGCCCCTTCTGGCTGATCCTGAACTGTGTGACCCCCGTGCCGGCACACGATGTCATCTGCAACTCTGACAAGCTGGGCATGAAATGGGTGGTGAAGCAAGGGAGCAGACTGAAGAGCAAGCGACGACCGAAGTGCATTGGCCACCGTCGCAACATGAGCTGCTGTTGCATGGCAAGCAAGATTTTCAGAGGAGCGCGCAGAAGAAACCTGCAGCCCATTTCCTGCAATAGTCAACCAGGACAAAGGTGTCACATCCAGGGTGGGATTGATGCCTTGCGTAGCGAACTGGATTACGTGTTCTTCTTGTCTCGGGCGTATAAGCGTGGCTGCTGGGATCCCAATGCTCCCTGCAACAGACTACGAGTGATGAAAATGACCACGATTGTTGCAGCTCAAGATTGGAAAAAACTAAGTCAGCGCACTGGTCTATCGGCATAAGGGTTGTTCAGCCTAGCCACGAGCTCCTTCTGTGGGAGTTTCGCTCCGGGCATCAGCTTCAACGAACCAAGCTGCAGTAGTTCTGTTGCCCGCCTCCTGTAGCTCCTTCGAGGGGACCACTTGTGGTGAATCCCATAGCGCAAGACTTCGCCTGACTTGATGGGTTTATCCAGAATTAGGATTGCATGGCGCAGGGTTCAGAGCAGCAAGCCGCAATACATCAAGCTGCGTTGCACGCACTCGCAGAAGCTATCCCTTTGGTTTGGCACTGTAGGCAGCCGGTGCATTGCGGCGGGCTGGGTGAACTACTGCCGCTGGAGGCAATATTGTACCTCGAATGGCTTTCCTGCTCTTTCCTATTCCTCAGATGAGTCGCAGCTGACTTTGGCTCCATCCACCGTTGTGAAGATGGCGATGCAGTAGGGATCGTCCATCGCGTGGCACTCGGTGCGACCAACGTGGTCCCGAAGGGCCCGCTGCCAGCCACAGTAAGCACGCACCTCAAGGAGATGGGCAGACGAGTGCACAAGCAGAAGGGTTACACCCGGAAGCAGTCGCACCTGGTGGGAGATACCGGTCAGCGCATTTCGCGCAAGCACTCCTTCCACGACCACCTTCCGAGTTGAATCCCCCAGCTTGCCCCTTCTTATGGGAGTCGCGGCCATACGCACGGCAATGTCCGCTGTTGGGCCGGGCCAGTCAACCTTTTCTTGCACCGTGCGTGAGTGCGATGGTTGCCTGTACGGCTCATAATGCAAAATATTGAAGAATCAAGCCGACGTTGCCCATCATGCAAAACAACGTCGTCCGAGTCAACACGATTCTTTGCGCACCGGTGCAACATGACCCTTCGTGATTTCCCGGTACTGCCCAGTGCTGCCACAATGGGAAGGGTTGATGGGCATGACTGACCCGAAAACGAGGGTCGAAGGGATCTTGGCACAGACAAATCTCTTAAGGGGTGGTTCAGGGGTTTAGGGTTTCAGGTTGTTCAGGTGATGGCTTCAGGGTTTCTTATCCGGGGCTTAGGTTTAAAGCCGACAGTTTGCAAACCAAACTCCGCGCTAAAAGCTGGAAAGCCCTACTTCGAACCTTATGCCCCAGGCCGACAAAAAAACACACGCAACACGCAACTTACACCTTAAACCCCCTACACATACTTACATACATATACAGATACCCATCACAACTGTTGCTCCTCGAGCCCGAATACCCAAGCACCAAATCCTGAGCCCTAAACCCCGGGCCCGAGACGTGAACTTCACTTAGCGTCCAAAAATGCACACAAGCAAAATTCGGATAGGGATATCTCATATAAACCCCCTTATGAAGAAGCCCAATATGGTAGGGATATCCCCATAAAATGCTTATGCTTATGTGCTTTTTGGGTCCCTAGTTCACAGCCCCCAACTCAGGCCTTCAAGCAGGGTGCCAGCTCGGCCATCACCTCCTGAACCAGCTGGTTGCAAAGGTAAGGTTTTTTTGTTAAATGCAATGGGCCCTTTCTCCTGCCGACCCTGCCTTATGACAGGCTTGCACCGTAAACAAAGGTTAAGGTTTAGGGATTAGGGTTGAGGGTTTAGGGTTGAAGGGTTTAGGGTGGCGGGTTTAGAGCAAGCTTCAGAGGTTAGGGCGTGGGCTTAGATCTGATTGTTTGAGGCCTAAGTGTCACGGGTTTCGGCCTGTACTTACTGGCTCCCAGCAGGGAATGAAGGAACCTGAAAGGTATAGTGACCGTGGTGTTGTTGATGGTGATGGTGGTAGCAACTGAATGTAGTAGTTCTCACTGAAGCCCTGCCGAATTGCCAGCGTGCATCAAACTACAACTGCAAGCACGACAATTTTTGCGGGACGCGTACCAATAACAATGCTGCTTGACTCCACCTCCTACGAAAGACCGCCGACCCTAAACCCGAAAGACCCGAAACGCCCTCCCTCAAACAGCCCAAACCTCCTTCCCCCCACCCATCCCGCAGCCAGTCCTCCAAACGCCGGAGAAGGAAGTGGTCCGACTTCTCGTCGGGCTGGGTCGCGCAGTCCTCGTCAGCTTGCATGGTAGGCTCTTCCCATGAGCAGCTTCAGATCCCTTGGGCCCATAGTAAAGTCCAGGTGTTTGTCCATGTTCCAATATTTCTGTATGTTGACGTGTTTGTGTATTTCTATAATATATGTATACAGATGTATCCGCAGCAAACCCCTCCATCTATCTATATACGTATCTACCTATCTGTGCATCCTAGCCTGGCCTAACGTAATCTAACCTATCTTTTTATCCATCCACCTACCTACCTACCTACCTACCTACCGAACCGACGTTCTGACCTACCCACCTACATACCTCTTTTCTCTCTCTCTCTCTCTCTCTCTCTCTCTCTCTCTCTCTATATATATATATATATATATACATGCACACATACATACACACACACACAGTATTGCTACCTTACAACTCACGAGCACGTACAAGGGCGACTTTAAAGGAGTCGTTGCATCGAGTCTTCCTACGAGCCAGTGTGGGTTAGGACAGGGTTTGGGTTATCTAGGGACTCTCGGATCCAAAAAGCTGCAAACCCGTAGCAGGCCTATAAGGCCTTGAGACTCTGACCGAGATCCCTGCCATTCCATGTGCCACGGCTTCCAGGAGGCAGCAGGCCGTGGGACGGAGCCTCTACAGGCGGAGGAAGGGGCATTGAGGTTTACAGAGGCCTGGGGCAGCACCCAAAATCTCGAGGAGCAAGAAGGGGTTGCGCAGAGATGGTCTAGGGTACAGGGTTCAGGTTTTAGGGCCTGAGCCGACAAACCCAAAGGTGAAGGTGAGGAACTGCACCTCTTTTCAATATCTGGGCGAGGAGGTTTTGAGAAAAAATAGGGTTTGCAGGGTCGGAGCTGAGGGCGGAAGAAACTTAGGGTTTCGGGTTGAAGCGTTAAGGCTTAGGACCTCTGTCGCGAGTATATGATCCTCCAAACAAATCAACAGACTAGGATATGATCCCATAGTTAGTAGCGCCTCCGGACATATTGTGGTACTGTTATGCAGTTTGTGGAAGGACATTACTAAAATACTATTGTTCTGAGTTCTATGAATGTAGTTGGTCCCTGTTGTTAAGGCGTTTTACGTCTGGGACAGGAGTTTAAGGATACACGACAACCCAAGAACAAGAAACACAACAAAGGGTACCAAGTTTAAGAACAATCTTGACGACACATCGAAAGGGGCAGAGTTGTGAATTATGTTGTTTCTTCTCTTATACATGTTTAACATTACACAACAACGGTTGCTACATCTGAAACCTTGAGATCTTCATCTGATGTACATTAAGGGGTCATGCACGAATAGAAGGCAAGCTCTGGCTTGGCAGCCCTTGCCCCTAAGGGTCCAAAGGACCCAATAAAGGTACTCGGTTCTAGGAGAGTAGTTATGTAGGTTAGGATTTTGGGGAGTATATGATTATTAGGTGCTTGGACCCTTGGGGTTAACCTTAGTGTGGCAGCCCTTCCACAAGTCATAATAGTGATTCCTAATATAGAAACCCTACATTCGACTATATAGGCACTTTGGAGTCTTGGGGCTTAACCCTGCAACCTCCAACTGCAGCCCCACCTGAAGTGGAGATCCGGGGATGCGTGCTGCACCTGGTGGAGGTCGGTGTTTGGGGCTCGGGCTCCCATGGTTTATGAGAGAATTTAGGTTTAGGGATTAGGGTTTGGGAGTTTAGGGTTTATGGGTTTAGGGTTTATGAGACTTTACATGCCTACTTGTTGGGCATCATGGGAGCTAAACCTTAATCTTGTGGTTTGTATAGGGACTATGCTACCCCAAAAAGGTTAAAGGTTACCTAAAGTTCTCGGCAGTGGTCCGGGGGAGCTGCCAGGGGTTCTGTGGTGGAAGCCCAAAAGTTGGAAACCAAATAGCCTCAACCTTTCGGAGTAATGTATAGGGAATCCCAGCACTATTTGGCCTTAATCCGGTTTCCAACTTTATGGGGCTTACTGTAGAGGGGTTTGTTGGTTCAGGGCTTCGGGCTTGCAGGGTTTAAAGCCTTCTTTGTGCTGGGCTGCGTCGCCAGGTCCCAAACCTAAAATCCAAAAAGTAAACCAGACCCCCTGGAGGATCTAGAAAGTACATCCCCTAATTTGGGGCCCTATACTACCAAGGGTACTTTAGAGGAACCCCCATTAAGGGAGCTACTTTTTGGATCCTCCCTGGGGTCTGGGGAGGGGTTTGGTGGTTCAGGGCTTCGGGCATACAGGGTTCAAAGCCTTCTTTGTGCTGGGATGCGTTGCCAGATCCTTCAAGTCAAACCAAAACCGCAAAAGTACACCGTAAGCCTAAACCGGCGATGGTAGTTTCAGAAGGACCCCTACCAGTAGCCTTCTGAATCTCCGTATTCGTAGCTCAGTGTCAGAATCTCGGACTTTGAGCTCCGTGAATACGAAAGGGCTTCTGTAACTACGTAGCAGTGACACATGGTTTGGGATTAGGATCTAGGTGCAGGGCTTAGTTTGGGTTTAGGGGCCCAGGGGCGCAGCACATGTGCGCGCGAGCCAAGCTGCTCCTGCCGTGTATTGTCGGCCTCTTTGTCTAGATGGGCTGCATTCCCCACAGATTACAAGGATCTGCAGGCTCATGCTGGCTGAATCGTCGCCTGAAACCACGATGTTGCGAGGGTTTCTGTCCATGTTGAGGAACCGTAGGTACTTGGTTCCGCACACCGTAACTGCAGCACTCCTGATATAGAGGCCTTAATAATTAGGATGATGGGTTTTGGGGGATAAGAACCCACTGTTTAAGAACCTGAGCCCCTACCCCTGGCGGGATTCACAAAATTCAGGCTGCTACAGAATTAAGAACTTGAGGGTGCCCTAGCTGTTAGCTGATGGGGTCAGGTTCTTATTTTATGTCGGGTGGAAGTGGTTTCGTTGTGGCTTGGCTTGTTATGAAAATACCGGAGGCAGGGCTGGGGTGGGCTTGGGGTCAACGAACTAGTGTCAGACACTACTTCATCATTGCCCGGCAGGGGTGGGGTGGGGGGGCAGGGGTCGGCAAACGCAAAAAGCCTCAGTTTTGCCCCGAAACAGTTGCAGGCAGGGGTGGGTTGGGGGAAGGGGTGGGGAAAGCCAAGAACGAATTAGTGTCATGACACCAATTCGATTTTGGCCCCCGGCAGGGTATGGCCGCGGCGGATACTGCGGCCATTTTGGCTCAAGGTACACGCTACGCCTGGCTGAGAACATTGTTAACAACCCCAGCATACCGTAACTTCTCAGCTGTCAAAATCAGAAGCGGTGGTACCTAAGAACCTCAGGGTAGGCTACTCTCGTGGAATGGGGTTCCTATACAGGGACGTCACTGTATACTATTACTGTAGAATAAGGAACCCCCCAAATAGGTAAAACACATTATAAAGGCCCTTTTGTTAACCCCTAGCCGTGAGCCCGAAAACCTTAACTCAACCTGGCCCCGAACGTCACCCTGGTCCTACACCCGAAGCCCTAAACCTCAACCTCAACATGTATAAGGTTTAGGGTTTTAGGGTTACATAAGTTTAGGCCCTGTCACGCCTCAACTGTATCTAACCCTATTGCACCTCGCACTGAGCCATGAACCCTGAACATCCCCGAACCTGCAGAACTCGCCCACAGCTACGTCCGAACCCTAAGCCGTTTAAATCGCTCCAAACCCCGAGCCCTAAACTCCTAAGCCGTACAACTCTGCATAAATCGTGAGCCATGTAACACGCCCTGACAGTACGACTCGACGCAAACCCGCGGCCCCAAACTCCTTAGCCTAACAGCCCTCAACCCGAAGCCATGGAACTCGCCTACACCCTGAGTTCTGAACCCCAAGCAAAGTAATTTGCCCGAAACCGTGCAACTCGCCCTAAACCGTAAGCCCTAAACCCTAACCAGTAGAACTTGCCCTCAACCGAGACTGTCAGAGCCCCACCAGGACGGAGTCTGGTACGCACAGCAGGGCCTCGACCAGGTAGTATACGGGGCGCTTGAAGGGGTCAGGGTTTTGGCTACTATGCCCTAAACCCTAAACCCTAAACCCTGAACCCTAAACCCTAAACCCTGAACCCTAAACCCTAAACCCTAAACCCTAAACCCTAAACCCTGAACCCTAAACCCTAAACCCTAAACCCTAAACCCTAAACCCTAAACCCCTAAACCCTAAACGAGGGCTCCTACAATCAGGCTACCAGGGTTCTCACACGCCTTCATAACTAGGACAGGGCTTTGCAGGACTTTATACTACCCTAAGGGTCCTAACAAATTAGGGTTTAGGGTTTAGGGTTTAGTGGGGAACCTCAAAATTGAGGGTTTCTGAGACCCCAAAGAGAACCAAGGGCTCTACTAGGACATCCCGGACCCTCGTAAAGAGATACCTGGACCCTTAGGGTACTATAGAGGACCTATAGTATGGAACCTCAAGGCGTAGCATTAAAACATATTCAGGCTTCTCTACCAGCTTTCACAGGCATCGGGGGGAAGACTCAAAACAGTAGAGTCCGTGATCTAAACTGCATAAGGGACAAGATCTTATCCAAATTTGGGTTCCTCGAATCCTGTTTTGTCCGTTGGTTAATGAAAACCACCAAAAAACCCTGAACGCAAAACCCTAAACATTACAGTAGAAGCCAGACAGTTGGAATATCATTATCGTAACCCCTTTAAGGTAAATTATAGGGGATCCTACCATTAATCCATATTCCAACTTTCTGGAGTTCCCTTTACAAAGTCGAGAGCACGTCTGCTTGGACTCCGGCTCTGGTGTAGTCTTTGGGCTTTAAGATTCAGGGGTTAGGGGTTCAGGGTTTAGGGCTTATAAGGGGTTTAGGGTATAGGGGCTTAGGGTTTAGACTACTGCGTTTTCAGGCTAATTTGCATCCCACACCCTAGACCCTTCTCTAAACCCTACGTAAGCCGCACTATAGGGCCTTGATCATTAGAATGGGGTTTTGCGGTAGATAAAACTATAATTATACTACGGAGCCCCCAAAATAGTATTAGTAATTATTTAATCCCCCATAGTGAACCCCGGTCGACAACCTGAACTGAACTGAGCCCTGAGCTGAGAAGCCCTTGATTTTTCTACGCAGCCGTAATAGCCCGTGTCTGAACCCTAAACTTTGCTAAACCGTAAACACGTGGGAGTTTCTGAAAATTAGGGGTACCTCATTTTGGGGCCCTCATAATAAGGATCCTACTACTTAGGGTGCTATACTAGGGTCCCCTATTTTCGGAAACTCGCACTTCTCGAACACCCGCCACGCAAGCTCTTCTCTAAACTCTTGACTCTAAACCTCTAAACCCTAAACTCTTGCATCCGACAACGAAGGTATCACAGGAGACTGTGGTGTCTCACTATTTGAGCAGAGGGACTTAAGCTCCTGAAACATCAACACTCAAACCCAACTAGAAGCCCTAAATACCACTACAAAACCCCTCTAGAACCTTCAAGGAAACCCCCTAAACCCTAAACCCCATCTTTTGCCGGAAGGCGTGCCTGAAGCATACTTTCATCTCGCCCTGTGCCTGGTCGCCAGCTTTCCAGGGCCACCTGCTGATGAGTAGGGCATTGGGTTTAGCAGACCTTAAACCCTAGACATCGTGCTCTTGGGCACCGGGAGAGTTCGAAAGGGTCTGTATGGGTTTCTATAAAGGCTCTCGCACTGTGTCTATACAAGTGCTCTAGCACGGTCCTATGAGGGTTTCTAGAAGGCTTCTAGTAGGGTTACGACTAAGGATTAGGGGATTTTGGATTTCACGCCTTCGGGTTTAGAGTCAATGTTTTGCTTTAGGACTTACATAGTGTTCCACGGTTTCTTTAGCGGCTCGGATACAAGAAACGACGAACTTAGAATGCAGCTCAAGGATTATTTGCGCTGGCTGTCGCTATACTTTACCATCATGTTCCAACTTTCTGGCATTCACTGTATGCAAACATTGCGACTGTGCAATGGTGAACGTTCTTCCAGCTGATTTCTGGGGACGATCCTACTGCGGACAATGCGCCCAAGCCTGAGTGCAAGCCAACGTATCAAGCAGTAGATTATGGTACTCCTACCCTCAACCCTTACTGCTACTATAGGGGCCTTAATAATTAGAATGGGATTTTGGAGCCCACTATACTATATTTATATCAGGGAACCACCAAAATAGTATTGGTACTTATTTAGGTCCTTATATGAACTACGACGGCCTCAGTTCCACGGGGGCATTTGCAGTTTTGGCCCTGAGCTTCATAAGGTCGCCTTAGGTTCCGGGTGGTGCGAAATCATCGGAGGTAGAATGAAATTTTCAGGGCCTAGGTTTTGGGGCTTAGGTTCAGGGTTTAGATTTACGGTTCAGGGAGGTAGAATGAAGTATTTCGGGTTAGGCTTTGGGTTTGGGTTTCGGGGTTTAGGGTTTAGGGTCGGGTATCACCTGCAGCTTGTCTCCCTCCCAAGGTTTCGGGTGGTGCGAAATCATCGGAGGTAGAATGAATTTTCAGGGCCTAGGTTTTGGGGCTAAGGTTTAGGGTTTAGATTTTCGGTTCAGGGAGGTAGAATGGAGTACTGTATTACGGGTTAGGTTTTGGGTTTGGGTTTCGGGGTTTAGGGTTTAGGGTCGGGTATCACCTGCAGCTTGTCTCCCTTGCACACCCCCCAAGCCTAAACCCTCAACCACTAAACTCTGAAAACCTCAGACCCCAATATTCTAAACTTAGGATGTCCACTCCCTAAGCTTCCCTAAGGTTCCCCAAAGCTCCCTAGTACCCTCCCCCCTTGAACCACCCCCCCTTAAGGATCCTATAATTTAAACCCCCAAACCCCCAAACCGGCCCTAAAACCCTGAAACGAAAGCCCGAACCCCTGGCCTCCAAGAACCCACACAGGTCTTCAATGCCGACACTATCTCCAAGCTGGCTCCACCTCTGCTTGCCAAACACTCGTTTATTCATGGAAGCTTCGGAAATCTAGAGACTTCTCCGACATGATAGCCTGATTAAGGTGTCTAGGGTTGCATATATGTGTATGTATATATATATATATGTGTATATATATATATATATATGTATATATACATATATATATAGATATGCTACCCCCCCCCCCCCAGATACCAATAGAATTGTGTGTTTTGTGCTCTAAACCCTGCAATTCATGACACCAAGACACTCGAAGGTCTCAGATACTTCTAGTGCACGACCAGAAGGTGATTTTGTTCATCCCCTAGATCCCGCAATTCAAGACGCATGCATCCAGGAGGCGCTTAATACAGGGCCAGGCAAGCCTGACTACATTGATGCCATACACATACAGGATGCTTCAGCACATGATAGGTAATAGCGGTTTAATGGCAAGCTCTGTATTACTTAGACGTGCCTCTAATCTATCACCCATCCTTCCTTATCACACGCTAATAATAGTACAACCCTAACACCAACAACTACCACTACCACTCCTCCTCGTGCTGCTGCTGCCATCACTGCTACTACCACATTACTACATGTTTAGTTAGGTCTATGTGTTTCAGCGTCATTCCACATCTTGCCCCAAATATATCCAGGCGACCTTTTCCTAGACCATGTCTTCTCACCATATTGCTCCTAAATTTCGTATCATGATATTAAGTTAAATCCTGTCACATATCCAACTATTATCAAGGTGGTCATAACAAACCATCACAAGAACCGTACTACGACTACAATCTACTACTGATACTACTACTACTACTACTGCTGCTACTAACTACTACTACTACTACTACTACTACTACTACTACTACTACTACTGTACTACTGCTACTACTGCTACTACTACTACTACTACCACTACTATCACTACTACTACAACTGCTACTACTACTACTATCACTACTACTACTACCACTACTAGTCAATCCATAGTATTAAACACGATTACACTGTACCTTTATCCTGTTATGCTACTACCGCCATACCCTTATGCTTATCATCATATTCCTGCCACAATGCCTTAAGCAAGCTTTTCCATCCTATCATAAATCAAAAAGCTACCCATATTTATGGGTTTAGATGTAATTAAGGACACAGTATTAACACATCATTCACTTACATCAGTCTATCTCATTTACCTAACACACGTAAACAGTGCTCACTGAAGTAATCAAATATCACACTCATCACCCTAAACATAAAACGTCAGTGAGACTGGCAACCAGAAACAAAACACACCCTTCTACCATCTCCAACAAACACTTACAAAAATAAGGGTACATTAACTAATCATAGTGAACCCCAGAAAGTTGGAACATTGATTTAGGGTGATTAGTGTTTGATTTACTTTGCCTTTAGTATAAGGGCATTAGGATACTGATGTTTCAACTTTCTGGAGTTCACTGTAGAATAATTTACAATGAAACCAGATCTCAAGTTGACGGCAAAACAAAAATCTGCTGTAAGTCAAAGCTAACAGAGCGCGAGAAGAAAATCTGCAGTGCGTTTTGCGCGGGCGCCGCGCGCGTGACGGAAACCTTCCAAAAGATCGTTTGATTGAGACAGTACAGTGGTTTCGTTAATTTTATTGTAAAAGTGCTGTACTGTCCCAAAAAAATCAATCCTTTTTTGCAAAAGTGCTGTACTGTCCCAAAAAAACCAAAAAAACCAATCTTCTACAGTCTTGGAGCAGCTGCCGTGTAGGGGCCTCCAATAGATTGGTTTTTTTGGGACAGTACAGCACTTTTGCAAAAAAGGATTGGTTTTTTTGGGACAGTACAGCACTTTTGCAAGAAAAGCAACAAAAAACACTGTACTGTCCCAAAAAAACCAATCCTTTTTTGCAAAAGTGCTGTACTGTCCCAAAAAAAACCAATCTATTGGAGGCCGCTACACGGCAGCTGCTCCAAGACTGTAGAAGATTGTTTTTTTGGTTTTTTTGGGACAGTACAGCACTTTTGCAAAAAAAGATTGGTTTTTTTGGGACAGTACAGCGCTTTTTCTAGTTTGCGGAG